CCCCACCCACTGGGCTGGAACAGATGTTTCCTCTAGGTAGACCCCAGGCTTTTAGTTAAGTCGGTGGCTGTTGTAGGGACCTGGCAATCAGCTTGGCCTCCTCTGTGGATTAACCGCCAGTGTTTGGAGGCACAGGGTAAGGCAGCCTGGTCGTCCTCAGTAGGTGTTGGCACCAAGTACCAACACACAGGTGAACAATGGCTATATTAAAATGCAAATAAAAGTGCCACGGGGAGATTCACAGCGCACTTTATTAATTTTAGAGTAAGACCTTTTGTTGGGTTAAAATAAATGTTTCTCTCTACAACAGTAATTGTTAAGTATCAACTTGAAAAGCTCAAAATTAACTCAATGCCTGCCTTCATTTCGTGTTTTTCAAAAGCCGGGACTAAGCAATCCCTTTTTCTTGTGCTGGACATTTCCTATTTGTAAAGTTTGTAAAGAAGTCATGTTGCCCGGGCTTCTTGGTGGACAGGCACCTTGCACAAAAATTTTTTTTTCTTAAAGACAGATAAATAGAGTTAATTTGGGAAGAGGCTCTGTATGTATGCTACTGAGATACTGTTTCATTTCTCCCTTTGATATGAGTACAAGATGGTAATACCCAGAAGATGCTGGTGTCCAGTGTCCAGTGGTGTCTTGGGGGAAGTCCTTCCGTTAGCTCAGCGTGTGCTGCTGGTCATTTCCTTTCTCACGTCACAGCATCCGGAAGGAAGCAAATCTCAGATCGGGCTCTGCTCTCCTCCTTTCCCTCACAGAGAAAGAAGACGTAAACTACAGGGTATAAGTCTCTGCTAGAAATAAGAAAACCGCTTAGCTAATAAAAACCATGCTTAGCCTGCGGAACTCAGTATACTTTTGGGTATTTTCACAAGGCTTAGCTTGCACATGAACCACACAAAGGTCCTTTTATTGTCATTTAAAAAAAATGACTGTCCACCATATTTTGCAGCATTTGCCTAATTCCAATGACTTGCCATATTTGTTTTGTAAATTGGTGCTGGGAAAATAAACACAACACCCGCACCTTTATTTAATAAATAGGGGGAAACTGTCCTTTGAACTCGGTGGAAAAATGGGTCCGTGGACACGGTTTTAAGCAGTATGGAGGGATCAATATCTTGACATGAAGTAATCCATGAGATATTTTCAAAAAAAGGAGTTTCCTGTAAGCAGAAGTGGGGTCTGTTTTGATAGAGCGTCTTCACGGTGTTTGGTGACGGCGGAGCTGAGACGGTTATCGACCCGCGTCCTGAAGCGCACCTGTATTTAAGTGCTCATCCGGAAGTTCTGCTACTCTTCGGAACCTCTCCCCTATTTAAGGAAGGGGAGGCTGAAAAAGCTATCCACGGCAGTAAGTGCGCTAATCACCGTATGGTAAACACAAACTGCCCGCGTTGCGATTCTCCGCAATTGCATTTCCTCATGCAGCCCAGACCGCTGACTGACTGGCTCCGCTGCATTTGTGATTTCTGAGTCCTGGCACTAAAAATATTAAGTATTGGGACACCTGGGTGGCTCAGTGGGTCAAAGCCTCTGCCTTCAGCTCAGGTCATGGTCTCAGGGTCCTGGGATCGAGCCCCGCATCGGGCTCTCTGCTCGGCGGGGAGCCTGCTTCCTCCTCTCTCTCTGCCTCCTTGTGATCTCTCTCTGTCAAATAAATAAACAAAATCTTTAAAAACATATTAAGTATTAAAAATACACTGCCCTTGGTAAAGAAATGCTTAAGACACACGTGAAATGTGCGCCATCATACATGTGTGTATTTACACTCTGAGTCTAGAACGGTCTTGAAGGTGACGGGTGGAGTGCAAGGTGGAGGACAGTAGCAGACCTTTGGGAGGGAGGTAGCGGGCCCTCCGTCTAGAGGACACCTGAAAAGGGCCTGAAAAGGCTCGGTGCAGGCTGCCTTCCCTGGTGGTTCTGGCGGCCCTTCCACCTGCCTCGGGGCTCCACCTGCTCGGCCCGGAGCCCCTCCCTCCGTCCCCTGTTTCTCCTGATTAATTTTTAGATTTGTTCTCTCTCAGCACAAACGTGTACCTCAGCTCTCCCTTCAGTGGTTTATGAGTCTTTGGCGTTTCTTCACTTTACAAATAATTTTAAATAAAAATTGCTTATTATGTTGTCTGAATCATTTAGTTAAGATCTCTGACACTGACCAAATTTTAATTTGAATACCCACATGCGCACTTGAGAATGATTTTTTTTTTTACGATTTTACTTATTTGAGAGAGAGAGAGAGTGAGAGAGAGAGCAAGCGTGAGAGAGGGGGAAGGTCAGAGGGATAAGCAGGCTCCCTGCTGAGCAGAGAGCCTGATGCAGGACTCGACCCCAGGACCCTGGGATCATGACCTGAGCCAAAGGCAGTCGCCTAGCCACCTGAGCCACCCAGGCGCCCTGAGAATGATTTTTAGAAGTGAGGGCCGCACTTCCATCTCTCCGTTTCAACCTACTATTGTGAATGTGCAGAGTTCTGTAAAGCATTGGGTATGCTACGTAAGCAATTTCTGTATAAATACTATATTTTGTATAAAATGTTAGCACAAGGAGTGTCTAATGCCACTTCTTACGCTTTGTGTGAAGACATACATGCAAATGTCATATGTATGTTACGTAAGTAAGACCCCACCAGCATCTATATTTAGTGAAGTGTCAGGACCAGACGCCGCAGGGAGCAGCACGAGCTTCCCTTTCGAGTCGGGCTGGGAAAAGCAGCTTCCTCCCATCAAAAGCACAGCTGGGGCAGGGGAGGGGGCATGACAGCAAGGTTTCCTATTTATCTAAATGTGATGACTTTTAAAGTGTCATTTTGTGGCTCTTGTAATTGCTGCCTCTGTCTTCAAAGTAAAGAGGGGCTGGTGGCGCTCTGTGCCCCCCCCAGACCTGTGGGCGGGACATCTGCCTGTGCTGGAGGCCTTTTGCTGGTTCAGGGAGCCTCTTAGCTATTGGGAGATTGGTTTTCCTTGTTTTCATGGTTGCCTAAATGCCTTTAAACCACTTTAAAGTCGTGCTTTTCTTCATAGTGGAGGGAAGCCACAGTGCATTCAACAGAGGATGGGTGTGGCAATACATTTTAATTAAAACAAGACTACCCACTGGGCTGAGACTTGGGGAGAGTGTGGAAGGGACTGGAATGTAAGTCCTCCCAGGAGGCTTATGCACCAGCATCCAGCTTCTCCAAGTTAGGGACCCTGGTGGGAAGAGGCAATTCTGGACCAGGCAGGGGCTTTCTTGGGGATATCTGGGCTTGGGCAGTTATGCCAGGAGATCGCTTTGGATTCAGACCCAGCAAAGGCTGGTGAGCCCGCAGTTTGGACTTCCGAGTGGCCATGGCCTCGCCTTTTTATTTTTTTAAACCTAAATCAAATAGTCATGGAAACCTAGACGGCCCAAGAAGGGGCCTCCCTGTGTCTGGGAAGAAGGTGAAGTTGAAGACGCCCGCTTTGACCCGGTGTGGAAGGAACGGCCGAGTGGGCAGATGCGAGCTTTCCACCTGTCCTCTCCCGGAGTTCCGGGTCCTAGTTTCTGCGGAGAGCAAGTCGGGACACATCTGTCTTGGCTGGAGGGTCCGCGAACAAGAGGGAAGGGCTGTGGGTGGGATCCAGAGGAGAAGGAAGCGTCCCCAAGAGCCGTAAGGAAGTCGGAGGAGCCGACTGGAGGTGGGGATGGAGCGAGCGGTTCCCGCAGGCCCGAAGGAGCGATGCACCCGGGAAAGGGCGGAGAGAAGGCCGCCTGCTCCGGAGTGGGTGCCCGGCGCCCAGGCATGCCGGTGACCCTCCACACAGGGGCGCTGGAGCACGTCTTACTGCAGCAAGACGCGCGAATGCGCCCCGAGCCCGGCGCCCTGTTTGCTGTGGCTTCTCCGCGCCCCTTCCTTTCGGTCCGGGGCCGAGGGGCGGAGCCAGCTTTGGAGAAGTTGCGGGCATCGCAGAGCTCGGCCTCCGCCTCTGTTTACTGAAAACGAGCAGGAAGCCCGCGGGGGCCACAGAAGGGTTGGGATGGGCAGGGAGGAGAGGCCTCCGCCGGGCCTTGCCTGCTTGCCTTCCGCGACCTGTGCTTTCCCCTCGTTTTGAGCCCGGGGGAAGGAAAACGAAGCTGTTTTCCGAGCCGCGCTGGCCTGGGCGAGCAGGGAAGACTCCTCAGGAAGCGGGCGTCCGAGCCATCTCCCGCGCAGCCCGCGGCTGCTCTCCCTCGCCCCACTTAGCACCCCGAGGCCCGAGGGGTCTTGGCTATTGTTGCAAGTTAGGCAAGAAAAGCCGGAGGGAGCCCCCGGGGGGGGAGCGCGGGGAAGGGGGCGAGGCTGCCGCGGCGCGGGGTGCGAGCGTGTGGACGCCCAGCGCCGAGGATGGGCGCCCTCGGGGCTCTGCCCCGCCTCTAGGACCCCCGAGCCCGCCGCGTGTTCGGCCTGTGCCGCGTTCCCTTCCCGCGCCGCTGGGGGTGCGACCTCCCGCGGGGCCCCGAGCACGCGCCCTCGCCCCGCGCGCCCCCCCCGCGCCGCCAGCCCCCCGCCGCCCCGGCGCCATTACCCGGCCGCGCCGAGGGGCCGGTGGGGAGGGGGAGGAGGCGCCGCGCCAGGGGCCGGGGGGGGTGGGGGCAGCGCGCAGCGCCGCGCTGGCTCCTCGCCGGTCTCTAGGTGGTGCCAGTCCTGGGGCCTAGGCGTCTTCCCTCCCTTTATGTTTGCGGGGGGGTTCCTCCTTCCTCCGGCGCCGTCGCCGAGGCCGTCCGCGGCCGCGCAGAGTTGAAAAGCGCGGAGAGAGCGAGGCGGCGCGCACGGCCCGACCCCCGCTCCGCGAGCCGCCGGGGGAGGGGGCGGAGGAGCCGAGCCCCGCAGCCGCCCGGCGGCGACTTGAGAGTGGCGCGCGCGAGCAGCGCGGCCGCCGGCTTCCCCTTCTCCTGCGGCTTCTTCCCTCTCCCCCGGAGGCGGCGGGGAGCGGGCGCCCGAGAGGGGCAGGCGGAGCCCAGGACGCCCCCCGAGGCGGCGGGCGAGGGCGCGGGCACCGATGGCTTCGCTGTACCAGAGGTTCACGGGCAAGATCAACACCTCGCGCTCCTTCCCGGCGCCCCCGGAGGCCAGCCGCTTGCTGGGCGGCCAGGGGCCGGAGGAGGACGGCGCGGGGCCCAAGCCCCTCGGAGCCCCGGCGCCCGCGGCGGCGGCCCGGGAGCGCGGCGGCGGCGGCGGCGGCGGCGGCGGCGGCGGTGCGGGTGGCCGGCCCCGGTTCCAGTACCAGGCGCGGAGCGACGGTGACGACGAGGACGTAAGAGCATCTTGGTGGGTGGTGGGTGGGGGGCGGCGCGGGGCACGGGGCCGAGCGCTCGGGAGACGCGCCCGCTCCGCACCTGAGGGTCGGGATCGCCCTCCCGCCTCCCCTCCCCTCCTCTGCCTCCCCAGAGCGCCGCGGACTGGCTCCTCAGCGCCGATCTCGGTCACCGCTGTCCCGGAGCGGGGCTCCGTCTGCGGGGCCAGGAGTTGGTGCTCCAGAGAGCAGCGTCTGTGGGGCTGCGCTGCTGGGATGTGGGATGGCTGGGGGGTGTCGCTGGGTGTGTGGATGTCTGTGGTTACTGTAAGGTGTGATGCATCCTAAGGGGAGAATTCAGTCTGTGCTTATAACTTGATTTTCCTCCCTCCGTTCGTTCCTTCCTTCTTTCCCTCCCTCCCTCCTTTTTTCCCTCCCTCCCATCTTTCCTTCATCGCCCCCCCAACCCCTCTTTAAGATTGAGGAAGATAAAGTCCCAGGCTTCCCACCTGTCACTGGAATCTAGGCGCTGTGCCCTCCAGAACCTACCCTACGCTGTCCCTTTGCTCACATGGCCTGTACTTCTCACCTCTCCAGGACACTTTCCCCTCTAGTGCTGATTTCCTTCGGGAAAGGGGTACAAAACACTCGCCTTTGAGGCCCAGCTTCCTGTCCCAGGGCCCAGCACAATTTTTGCTGATGGGAGTCAGGCCCTGCCTGTCTCCCACGTCCAGCCTTGGACTAGCAGCTCTACCTTAGACCTGCGTTAGGAGAAAACTTCGAGAGCATGTTTTCTACTCTCCTTGGGCTGGAAGCCTGGGTTTCAAAGGTTGAATTTGCATATCACCTTAGTAACTGAGGACTCCGTTAGGACACTGGCGAGCAGCTGAGATGGATGGGTCCATCTACCTCTCTCGATTCCTTCCAGCTATTACAAGGGCCAGGGAGGACCACAGGGAGAAGGAACTGCCTGATGAGCTATCCTCTTCCTGAGAAAAGAGAAAAATGCCAGACAAGCTCTCAGACTGGCAGACAGAGCTGGCCTGGCTGCTGTATTGTCCCTAGAGATATGCAGGGTGTGTTGGCTTGTAGAACCCAGTGCGTGTACCTTTGACGAGTTTCCTTTCTGGGGGCAGTGGGCACGGGGCCTCACAGAAGCCTCTCAGACAGCCGACCCTGACGTACCCGGGGCTTTCCATGTGTCTGCACTGAGCAGGCAGTTGTGGTCATTCAAATATGTCTCGCCCTGGGTCACATTGTTTCACCATTTGGTTTTTCTTTAATAGTCCAAGGTTGGGGTGGGGGTGTTGAGAGCTTTCACAGGGACGCTTCTGGAAAAAAAAAAAAAAGCCACTGAGGTTTTGTTGTTGTTGCTGGTCGTTTTTGTTTTATGAATGGAGGACGTGAAGACTGATGGGGATGATGAAAGTTTGTGTGTGTGCACACACACAGACACACACCCCACAGCCTGTATCAGGTTTTGCGTGACATTTTCTTCTTTTATTTTGGATCCTCTCCAGACTCCCCTGGTTACATAGATAGTGAGCGGAGAGATGTCCCTCCCTTCAGTGGGTCAGGTCCTGAGGGAAATGCATGCACTCTTCAGACATCTGGTTCAAGGAACTGGAAGTCTTTGAGGAAGGAGGGGTTTTACTGGGGTTGGGGCAAATTCTGGAGGATTAAAATATTGAGAATCATGGAGAAGACAGTTGAACTGCAATGCAGACAGAAATGATGCACTTTTTCCTTAAGTCTGACTTAAAACTGTGGGATTATATTATGCTTGGAGAACAATGCAGTTTCCATGTCCTAGGCTCTAGGTGTCGCTAGGAGAAAGGAAAGGCAACAGTTTCTGAATTTTGTTTCTGTTGATCTCCACCCATCTCTCTCTTTTTATCCCCTTCCATCTTAGTTTGGAGCATATAGTTCCAATTTCTTCTTTTCGGTTTGATATATGCCTAGAACTGTTTCTCAGATAAGGCGAGGGTTGAACTGAGGAACGAATTAGGGATCTGACATTTGCAAATGATTTCTGCTGATGTGACTCTGACATCAGTGTTTTTTTCCTGAAAAATACAGAACAGTGTGTGTGTGTGTGTGTGTGTGTGTGTGTGTGTGTGTGTGAGAGAGAGAGAGAGAGAGAGAGAGAGAAAGAGATGTAGGTGTGGGTATAAACATAGTGTACATGCATATGGTGTCCTTACGAAATACATATAAATACGTATGTATTTAAAAGGTCCAATGAAATCAATGACAGAGCTAAATGTGCATCAACTTCTTGAAAACTTTTGTGTGATTTTCTCAGAAATGGCTGTTCAAAATTGGAAAAGTTATGTCTAAAATTTAGAAAAGATAGATGTACATATTAAATCACTTTTCCTTCGGGAACCCTGTCTTCCGTCTAAGATAACGATTTAAAAAGATAGTAGATATAAAAACTGCTTTTCTGATACCGGCTCTTGTCAAGGATAGAGAATTTAGAGCCCTCATTTTGCTCCCCAAATGTAAGCCAGAAGGTGTGCAGCTAATTAGGAACACATTGCTCATTATTCTTTGCGTGGTGACGCGACCTTTTAAAACACTGATTTCCAGAGTTTGGAAGTGCCCCGTGGCTAGGCGGGAGCTGTCCGAAGTGCTGAAACCTTCTCTGTGCAGCACCCCTCTGTCTGCGCATCCTGACCCTGGGGCTGGTGGCTTTACTGCCCTTCTGTGGCTTGTCAGTCCGGGAAAGCTGTTCCATGGTACAGAACCAGCTTTCCTGGCTTGGTCACTGAGACAGTGATAAACAGAATGCCTTTAAAATCCAGTGGGCTTTGTGCCTCCTTCCATCCAAAAAGGGGGGAATGATATGTAGTTCTTGACCTCTTTATGTGTGAATGCACACATGCCTGAATATGATGGAAAAGAAGTAATTCCCACAAAAATATAATTTAGTAGTCACGAGATCTAGCAGAGAGAAATAAAATGCTGAGGTTGTACAGTGGGTAGTTAACTAGTATTGCATGGCGCATCTGCACCAACTACACATATAAGGGACCTCCCTTCCCCCTTCCCCAAACCCCAGAAAAGCTTGCTTTGGGTGTGTCAGTTCTAAGACATGAAGTTTAGCTCTGAAGTAGAAATAAAGCTAGAATACCTTTTCTACTGGAATTTCCTCATCAATCTTTTTTCCCCTTCATCAATCTTAAATTTATTTAAATATAAAGTCAATTACTTGGGCAGCCTCTCTAATGAATCAATAGCTATTTTGATTTTAAATTCATTTGTCGGTTTAAAAATAAGTTGACTCTTAAAGGAAATATTGCTAGAAGTGACTTTTAATAGAATTTAGCAATTTCCAATGGGAATTAGCTGTGACTGATTTTAAAATACTGGACTTTGTGCCTCTTCTGCTTGAGTGGTTCTGTTTTATTTTTTAAAGGACTTCAGAGCCCTTGGGCAGTAGTCTTATTGAGGTTACATTAGCATGTGCCTGTAGTCCTCCTTTTTAGTGACACATGATTTCCTAACAATACAAATGCAATGACAACAGGATTTTAAATCAGCAAATTGGCCAGAGCAGGCACTGAGCAGCGAGCCCCTGCTTATGATGTCTGTCAGCCCTGCAGGGCAGTTCCACCGCCCTGTACCTTCAGCATGATGGCTGTTCTTCAGCAGCAAGCCCGTCTTTCTCTCCACCTTGATTTTTCATCGGTATGATGTCAACATCCTGTGAATTTCTTCTTAGTATCTATCAACCTTAATGTTTTAAGTTGCTTGGCTCCACAGATAATTTTGTTTGCCTTATTACTTTCTTCTGCTCCAATTTTAATTTTTTTATATTTAATTTCCCATTATTTCCCTAATATATGAGAAAAAACCTGAAACTTTCAACTGTCTACTTGATCCCATTATTGTCATGACCAATTTGACAATTCTGCATGTCCTCCCCTACAGATATCACAGGGCCGTTTGGGGCTTTAACTTGAGGAGAGAGGTAGAACTCCCATCTCACTCCGCATAATGATAGTGCCTACGAAGTAAGTGCTATTGCATGCTGAGCAGTGAAATTCATTCAGTTTCAGGGAATATATTGTTGCCCATACTAATCATATTATCCCTTAATCTTTCTTTTTCTACTGGTTCTCTCTCCTTCTCTGCCTACAAAGGGAAACAAACACCATCTTCACTGGTCTGTATTACCAGCTCTGGCTACAGTCCCGTTTTATTTTCTTCTGTTACCACCCACCTTCTCAATCAAGTCGTCTACAACGGATTCCACTAACAAGTCATTGACAGTCCTCTCCTCCTCGTCTAGCTCCGTGGCTTGCTGCAGAAATGCATACAAAATGTCATCACTATTCTCTAAGTAACTTGACATAATGCCCTGTGTGATGTCTCTTTAGTCCTTGTTGTTATACCTTTGGCTCTTGGGGACCACTACCCTACACTTCCAATGTTTGCATCGCAAGTCTTTCATGGTGCTGCTGGAACTCGTGCCCTCTTTCTTTCTCAAGTTGGCCTCTGAGGTCTCTGTGACATCACTTCCTCCTACGCTTAATGTGGGGGCGTGGGAGAACCTACACTCCCAAGGTTTGGGTTTCCACTATTCTATTTTTTACCTTTCATACTTTCTAAAGATAAGTTAGATCTCAGATAAATTAGAAAGAAGGTGAAGAGAGCCGAGTATATCTGACGGCATCTGTGTTAGAAGAAGACAAACTAGCTTTCTTCTCTAATATATATCCCCGAGCATTTCTTTTGAAGATATTTTGCTTTTCTCTTTTACAGAATTATAGACTTGAAAGGACCTCGGTGAGCGCCATCTTGATCTCTCTTCCAGGCTTTTGTTCCACATATCAAACAGCTAGACGCTAGACTGTTTTTGTGACGATGACGAGATGGATACATGGAATAAGTCCCTGATGTTTCCCCCCTTTATGTCCACTTATTCCAAACATCTTTCCTCCTAATCCTTTTATTTGTCATGGTAGTATCGCCATTCCTTCCATCTCTGAGCATGGCATACAGGGTGTGAAATC